GTAGTTAGTTAATAATGATCTATTTTTCCATCGCATAAATATACAAGTTATCATGAAATACTGCAACTCCGTTTCAACCCTTACTACTTCAATATTTGAATAAAGCACCCTTGCAATGAAAAATGTAGCAAGACTAATCAGCATCCATATACTTGTTCCCTAATCAATTATAAAAACCTCTACTAACTAAACCAAACCAGCATCCAAACATTTTTTCTTACTAAATCATAAAAAACACTACCATCTAAACATAGCATCTACGTCCTATATCTTCCGATATAGCTTCATAGGCCCAACTCTGCATTAGATTCAAAATATTACAATCTAAATAAAATGAATAATATGGATATTTCTCATTATAAATCAAGTATGACTTCACCAAGAATCTCTAGTCTTTCATGAGTACATTTATTGTATGGCCAAAAGCCTTTCTCCTCCTAGGATAACTATTAAAAGCCTCTAAGTCATCAACCATTGACAAGTCTTCTAAATTTATGTATGTGTAGTTTTGTTTGGGTAGTAGTACCATTTCCAAAATATATACAAGCCTAGTCTTGTACTTGTCTTCTATACAAACTTTGCGAGTGTCAATATCTTTTTTAAAATTTTACACCGTTTACCTTTCTTACACCTTTTAAAGTGTTTATTCACCATTCTATCATTAGTCACAATATGGGAATCTAACGAAAGCTCCTCACTAGCTTTCAATCACATTATCAATGAGAACTAGTGTAATGAAAATCATGTTGGCTTACCACCAATTGAAAACAAGATCTCATTTTGTTTTTTTGGTTACAATCATTCTCATTGCAAGTGGTGGACTAGTTGTGCTGAAAAAGGTATATGCTTCATTTGATATAATTGTCGGGGCAAGATTCCATCAACATATCAAATGCCACAAACTCAACCAAGTAAGTGCATTTACATCATGGAAAAACATGCAAAATACTACAATATCTTCGTTACAGTCAAAAATCACAATCAGTCAAAAATCACAATCGTTTATTACTCCACCATATTCCATTTGATGCAAACCTCTTAAATCCTACACATCACAATAGAGAAAGCCATATTATAGGAGGAAAAATAGTTCATCCATGTCTCAATGACAAGCAAATACCACAATGCAATATAAGTGTTCATCAAAGAATAGTTAAAAGGAAGTATTTCGTGAAACTTTAAGAAAATGAATGAGCTCAAAATCTCATATTTACCTCTCTGCATAATCAGCTAAGTTCAAAACCTTCGAGAAGACACTTTTATCGCAGAATATTCATTTCATTACACTAACATTGCAACTAACACGATATTCAAATGTTTTCAGCAAGCAAAATACTTAAAGATCTAATTTTCGATAGCAATTTTTATTAAATTGTCATATTTGCTTTCAATTATTAGCTCCACAAGAATTTAAATCCAAAAGAATCATAGCTTGCTAAAAAAAAGGTTTTTTAGTCAAAAGCAAAAACCCCTCAAACAATAAGTGGAACAAGAAGACAATTATAGTATTTCATTATCTGGGAAAAACAATAATTTGCTTTTTGCAATTTATCACAACTTCATCATGCAATTTCTTTACATGAGCAAGTCTAAGTTTCGTGAAAAAGCATAATCGCGTGCCGCCTCAAACAGGAGTAAGTCATATTTAGACAACAAAAGCAGACGTAAATCAAATTTGAAATCACCTATGGAGCTATTTACCCCAAGTCTGCTGATAAGCCTATCTTTATTTGTTCAATATCTCAACCCTAAAATACTCCCATATTTAGACAACAAAAGCAGACGTAAATCAAATTTGAAATCACCTATGGAGCTATTTACCCCAAGTCTGCTTATAAGCCCATCTTTATGTGTTCAATATCTCAACCTCAAAATACTCCACTATATATTTTTTCCCAATTTGCTTATAAATCTACATCACAAAGAATAAAATAAAGAAATAACATGTTTTTAAATTTGTAATTACAAGAAGAATGTTAAATTTGTAAGTAACTTTTCGTTTAATTCAAAGTAACAATGAAAAATATGATGAGAAAATTGAATTCCAAAACTTAATCACCACATACCAGAAACATGAATAAAATAAAGGTATAAACAAGTCCATTCTATCAGTATAGTTCTTGCTGGCACAAATTTCTCTAAATAAATATTGCATAAAATCGTAATAAAAATGAAAAATTGAGTAAATAAACATACATGTAGATAGCCCACTATGAAATTGGTTCTTAGAAGTGGTTGTTCATGTATGGTTGCTCTTTCGCGAGTTTCGATTTCGTAAATCTTGAGAAATGAATGAAACCATCATTTGAATTCCTCCTTTCGCTCAAGAATACGAAGGCAACCAATTTTGAATGTAGAAGGATTTGGAGATGATGAAACTACGAAGAGAAAAGAAGAAAGGTTTGGGAATTGTCAAGAGAGAAGAAATATTAGATTTATGATTTTGGGAATTCAATTGATTTGAGAAAGGAGAAATAACGTTTTCTAGATGGTTGTAAGGACATATGGCCTCGTTTGGTACCCATTTTTTTAAAATGCATTTTTCTCTCTTCTTTTTTTAACCACACATTCTTTATTAAAATAATATTATAAGTAAATAAAAACTTTTCACTATTTTTTAATCACACATTTCCTATCAATTTACTATTCTAAAATGTATTTTTACATAAAAATGGGTCTCAAACACCCTCTAGGTAATTTATAAATTATGATTTAAAATATTTATTTTAAAAATATTATTTTGGTCAAAGACTGAAATCCCAAAGTATACTATGAAATAGGTTATTTGACCGAATTTCCTGATAACAAATCAGTAACATGCGTGTGCAGATTATGTCTTTGCATGTAAGATAACTGGGTTGACCCACATAAGGGCCCAAGGCCGCGAGAGTTGAAAGGAATTACATTGTTTATTTTCAGAAAATTAAAATGATCCAGTTTTTAATTTAATTTTAAGGATGTACAATAAATTTATTAAAATCTTGCTTTATAAATCCTGTAATTTCAATATAAAAAATCATATTTGTAAATTTGAAATTCATGGGAAGGTAACTTTTATATATATAAATTGATAGAGAAGACCCTTAGGACATATAATTATAAAACGGCAAAGCTTACAAATTTCTCTAGTGACTTTGTTCCTTCATCATATTTAATCTTAAAGTAGTCTAATATAATTTACCGCAGATATGTTAAAAGATCAAAGATCGCTTTCTTTCTTTCTCTCATCAAATTTCTTTGCAAGTTGAATGAAAAATCTAATTATTTTTTATTTATTTTTTATTTACTATGAGAAAGTGTTGCATTCATTGTGGTTGTATGTATAATACGAATTGTGGTTGTATGTATAATACGGAAAAAAAAACCCGGCTTCCAATTTTAAGTGATACATTCATCATTATTGACAATAATTCTAATCAACGACATACATCCATCAACGTTTGTATTGTCACAATAAAAGTCAGTGGTTCTATCATAAGTCCACAATTGCGAAAATTTTGTTCTTTTCACTATTTTTTAAATATATTATAGTGAATGCTTCTAGTTAACAACCGAAGCACCGTTGATCATTTTCGATGGTATTATTTTCAAAAATCGCTGAAGGATATGCATCAGTGATCAAAGATGGTATAGTCAAGGACATAATCCCACATCAGCGATCAAAGATGGTATAGTCAAGGACATAATCCCACATCAAATAAAGATGAAAACATAGACCAATTTATAAGAGTTTGTGCTACTCCTTTTAATAAGATTGATCTTTTAAAATGATTCCAAATATTAACAGGTATTACATATGTTAATTTTTGTCAAGTACCATCATGATTCCGTCCACGATCATTTATTCTATTTGAATTCCTTTTATGGTCACTTTTATTACAGAAATTATATGGAATGAATCTTCTAAAAAATTGGATTCTTCGATTGTCTTACTTGTTTAAAGTTACATAGATTGAGTCAACTGTCATTTATAATATATATTATGAGTAATTATTGACAGAAAATGACTTAATTATTGGACATATCATATTAATCTTCATTTTACCATTATTGTAACATCATATTTTGACCACTATAGATAGGGGCTTTCACCATTCAAGTCTCACATAAAAGGAATTCTAAGTGTGTGTCTGAGCCACATTATTTTGAAAAAATGTATTTTTAAATAGTAGGTTGATGGAGAATGTGTGGCTAAAAAATGAGGAAAAGTTTGGATTTGCGTGTAGTATTATTTTATTAAAGAATGTATGGTTAAAATGATATCAAATCACTGTTTAGAAATACATTTTTTTTAAAGAATGTGGCTCAAACAGAACCTAAATTTATCAAATCTCTTCAAAATCTGGTAGTTGCTAATAGCACGAAAAGAGAGCACACTGTTAACAAGAGCAGAATTATTGTTGGTAAGCTATAAATTTAATTTGAAGGACTATTTTTGTATCTTATTAAGATGAATTAATCCTTGAGTACAAGGATTACTTTCATAAGGGCCTGTCAGGTCCCTCACTGTAGCAGACGAGCCCCACATGTAATAAAAAAAATTACGATGGATTCCACTGTGTGTGTATCCTGGTAGGGACGTGATACTTCAAGCAGGATTGAAGATCTAACTTATGGTCAGCCATGGCACCTTTCATGACCTTCTAAATGCAAATCTCTAGGGCTTGGTGGGGACAGGGTTATTTAAATAATCTAATAATTCTGATCTTACACACCTTATGTTTGACCAGCTCAACGCCTATTTTAGACCAACCTAATAATTATCTAGATAAAATGTTTACAAGCTTCTAATTTTATTAAAAACAAGCCACGTGTGGTTTTTATTTATTTATTTTTGGGATTTAGAAAAATGCGTGAACATACCAACTCTGGAGCCGAGGTCCATACCAACTTATTTTCTTAAAAAGAAAAAAGAAGCACTTGTGCAAACTCGCTTATATTTTACCAAACTTTACAAATTCCCAAAAAAAAAAAAAAAATAGGGGCCAAATCCGGTGTCGTGGGGGTGGTTTTGCAGCTCGTGAAGAGATAGAAAGTTAACACAGAAAGTAAAATATCAAGAAAGAGAGATATTTTGTCTGGATTTGCCTTTGGAGGGTAGAGTTGTCTATTAGACTATGAGAACTCTTTTGAGTTGTTATGAAGCTAAATGGACTCCCCGAGGCCTCTTCCTTTTTAAGAATCATTACACTTATATAGATTAATTTATAATATACAATAGTGTACTTGTTTTCTTTGTATTGGTCCTAGATTGATTGAAGGCGTTCTCTCTATTTGAAACCAAGAATTTATAGCCCAAGAACTGTTTAAAATAGCTAAAAAGGATGAATGGTGTCATTGGGCTTGATTCAGATGATTCTGGGTTTGTTGAAATTGATCCTACTGGAAGATATGGAAGGGTATAATTTTGTTCTTTTCATTGCAACTAATTGTTACTGTGATGTTTTGTTTTGTCCTTAATTTGATGAATTTAAGGTTGTTTCTTTGCGTCTTCCAATTGCAGTACAATGAAATTCTTGGTAAAGGGGGTTCAAAAACAGTGTAAGTAGATATGTTCCTTGATTTCCTTTCTGCAAAATTTAATATTTTTAGCATTATAATTTTGGGTTCTTTTTGCTGCAGTTATAGAGCTTTTGATGAGTATGAAGGGATTGAGGTAGCCTGGAACCAGGTGAAGCTTTATGATTTTCTGCAGAGTTCTGAAGAGCTTGAGAGGTTATATTGTGAAATTCATCTGCTCAAGACTTTAAAACACAGGAATATTATGGAGTTCTACACTTCTTGGGTCGATACTGCAAATAGGAACATCAATTTTGTGACAGAGATGTTCACCTCTGGTACTCTCAAACAGTAAGTTGTTGAATCATCTCGTCTAAAATAATTTATATATTTCATCAAAGATATGTCACACGCTCAATTTTTTATAAATGATGAGACTTGAACTCAGAATCTTTGTTTGCTCCATGATGCAATTTTGAACCATCTAAGTAAAATCTTTTAGACGAGGTTGTTTAGAATAAGTATAAATAAGTGTCTACAAAATAAATTCTTCTACTTTTGGAGATTCTATAAACAGGGGATACCCAAATTTTTGTGTTCTGATACAGTATTCTCGTTTTCATTTTCATTAATCTGTTATAGGTATAGGCTGAAACATAAGAGGGTTAATATTAGAGCAGTGAAGCATTGGTGTAGACAGATTTTGCAGGGTCTTCTTTATCTCCACAGCCATGACCCTCCTATTATTCATAGAGATCTCAAATGTGATAACATTTTTATTAATGGGAACCACGGAGAAGTGAAGATTGGTGATCTTGGCCTTGCAGCAATTCTTAGGAAATCCCACGCCGTTCATTGTGTAGGTAAAATTTGAATCTTTCCAAATTTCCTTGACTCTTATTTTAATAGTTGTCGAGTTTTAATTCATACAAAATAGGAACATGTTGACGTCTATTTTGCTGTAGCTTCAATTATTATTGATAAGAATAATCATGGAATTGTTTAAGGACAAACTCCATGTTTCAAATTTGACGTTTCATTAGTTTTGATGTGTATTAGTTACTCTCAGGAACACCGGAGTTCATGGCTCCAGAGGTGTATGCAGAGGAATACAATGAATTAGTGGATATTTATTCATTCGGTATGTGCGTCTTGGAAATGGTGACGTTTGAATATCCATATAGCGAATGCATTCACCCTGCCCAGATTTATAAGAAAGTGGTCTCTGTAAGAACTTAAACCTTGTATTTATGCTCTCAGTTTCAGCATGTTTGGCCAAGCTTTAAAAATGGCATACTTACTATTTTGTCAAAAAAATAAAAATAAAAATGAGAGTAAAATTTTGTACTAAAATTTCGAAAGATGTAACTTCTGAAAAAACCCAGCACAAAAGTTAATTGTAAGCTTAGCCAACCATGTTCCAAGAAACTTCCCTCTGCAACTTATGTGCTTTTTTATCTAGGGAAAGAAGCCAGATGCTCTTTACAAGGTTAAGGATCCTGAGGTGCATCAATTTGTCGAGAAATGCTTAGCTACAGTGGCCGACAGGCTATCAGCAAGACAGCTTCTTAATGACCCTTTCCTCCAAATTGATGATTATGACTCTGATTTGAGGCCATTAGATTATTACAGAGATTATGATGAAGTCGATCCTGGGTTAAGGAAACCGGTCTTGAGTGTTCATCATAGTAACAGTTCTTTAATCAATGATTACTCAAAGTATCTTGGTTATGAGCAAGGGAATGACTTGGATTGCCATTCTATTGAATACAAAGCAAATGAAATAGATTTGTTCACGAGTCAAGAGGATGATCACTTGGAAAACGTAGACATTACAATCCAAGGGAGAAGAAAAGAAGACAATGACATCTTTTTAAGGCTAAGAATTGCAGATAAAGAAGGTATGTTTTAGTTTCATTTAATTATAGCAGTCAAGTATCATCTCGTGGCATGCACTACTGGATAGGACTAGGGAGTCTAGTAGACCATGCTCAACTATTTTACACTCGTCTTTGCAGGTCGTGTCCGAAATATTTATTTTCCTTTTGACATTGAAACTGACACGGCTTTGAGTGTCGCTGACGAAATGGTTGCCGAGTTGGATATCACTGACCAAGAAGTGACTAAGATAGCAGAGATGATCGACGGTGAGATTGATTCCTTGGTTCCAGAATGGAAAAGGGGTGAAGAGATTCTCGATGCAAACAATAGTAACTGTCAAAATTGTGCTTCAGATGGTTCTCTTGTCGACTATTTATCCTCACACGGGCTAAGCAAGAACCTCCAAGTTCTTCAATGTTCGAAGCACGGATGTGGTGAAGTACATGGACGGTTTGAAGAGATCACGTACCAGTTTGAGACGCCCGAGGAATGTGTTACAGAAGGTGCTCCAGTGGCGTCGAGCCAGACTAATGGCATGCACTATACTGACATATGGGCGCAACACGAGGGCCCTGAATTAACTTCTGGTGATAATGATAAATATGAAACTGTTGACCAATCAAGGAAGGACGACAGAACTACAAGGATTGACAAGGAGAAGTCCTCCAGTGGGAGAAGTTCCCCAACTAAAAATTCTTCGACTCTGGCAGAAGATTATGAGAACGAGATAAGGCAGGAGCTGAGGTGGCTCAAGGCCAAGTATCAGATGCAGTTGAGAGAGCTTAGAGATCAACAACTTAGGGTCTTGTCAAATTCTTCTACTTCTGATTCTAGCACCCCGAAAGAAGAGAAGTGTGATGTTCTAAAATCTTTTGCATCCAGGAAACATTTTAGTACATTCAACTCCATCAATGGCAAAACAAACCGTACAAATCAGAAGGTTCACGATTGCGAGTCTGCATATAATTCTTGTTGTCCAGATCATATGATCCCTGCCAAAAGTTTCTATTCTGGTTCAATTCACAGGGCCACTTCGCTACCAGTTGATGCTACAGATATCTAAATTTTTGCTTTTGCTCCATGGTGGGAGTTCCACTTGCTGCTTGTAGAGTCTCAACTTCAAGCAAAAGTCAATTCCACTAGAGTTGAAATGATGTACGTTTCTAACTTTGTGGCGGAAAAGTAATGGACAGTAGAATCAATTAAAGAAAGAAACTGAGAAGTTAAAATCTTCTTGTTATCTGTCATTCAATAATTCATATCAGACGTGCCCTTAATGCGCCAAATTTATATTAGTCATTACAAATCAAGTCTTTGAAGTTATCTTTTCGATTTTGCGAACTCTAGAGTCTACCTTCTTTTCGAAATGTTCTGTCTCTAAAATTTTCGTTTAAAGTGCCACATTTTAAGTATCGAATTCTATAAAATATATATATATTAGTCTCCTATTCATCTCATCTAATTTTCGTCCCCACCCCTTCTTTTGCCTGGGTTGAAGGGTGGTTTTTCCAAGATTAGACACTTCTCCGTACCGAGTTGATCTCGTATGGCAATTAAATATGAAAGATTGGATTCGTAACCCAGATATAAAACGAAGTTGCAAAAAATGTTTTCTCTCCGATCAAGTCTTCTCATAGAGTTTCTTAAGGCCTATTTGACATGCTTTTGAGAAGTCAAAAGCAACTTTTGAATTTGGATCAGTTTGATTAATTTTATAAAAAGTGATTTTTATAGTTAGAAAGAAACTGATCCAATGTGTCTTCCCTAAAAGTTCTTTCAAAAATGAAAGCTCTTTAGAAATTAATTTTTAAATATTAATTAAGGTAGCTTTTCAAAATTCCGAAACAAAAATAGAAGTATTTTCAAATGAGCCCTTAATCTTCCTAGACCTACCATCTATTTCGACAAACAAAAGTAAATTATCTAATGCAATGCCCTATTCTAAGACAAATTGGTGGTGGTGCTCTAAGAAAGAAAACTTAGGGTGATTACATGTGTAGACCATCCACTCAATGGAATACCAACCAAAGATTCCCAAAGACCTAGTTGCCTACTTGCAGGTACGATATTTAAGCCCCTTTTTTCATTAGAACTATAAAGGCAAAATGAGTGATTACAAAGTAGAGTTTTTTTTTTCTTAGTACATAAGAGAAAAGGAAAAAGAAGATAGAGACATTTACATGGGTGGATATGAAGCCTTCATGCTTTTCTCAAGTCTCAACCCTTTTAATAATGTGATCAAGTTCAACTTTTTTTCCTTTTCTCTATCACTAATAATAGAATGTCGATAATTTTGAAATTGTGCTTCTAGTTATAGGTGCAATGGACTATTACATTAGATGAGACAAGGGTTCAATATAGTGTTAACTTAGACAAATGTTTGAATCTCGTGATCCATCTTTTACTTTATACTTGTCTATTTAGAATTCGAGTAATGTACTTTTTCAATTTGAAAGTAAAAAACATAGTCACCGGCCAAGTCAATACCATTCTTTTATCTAGTATATGAAACGTACCATCAGATTCAAAGTTTTGCTCTTTGTTAGAGTTACGACCGAGCATAGTGAATCTCCCAATTATCTCATTCTTCGTTATATCGTATTCTGGATAACGTGTCCTCAACGTGTATATTTACTATTTTATTTTTTTTTCTAAAAAAACATGTCTTAACATCTCCTTTTCTTGTTTGTATTTATGTAGCATCACGCTCATCAAACTCAAACAAATCCAAACTATGCATCACTCAAACCCGAATCATTAACCTAGACATCTTTCTTACTTTTACTCTATACTCCCTAATCCATTGTTTTTTTCACTTTCTTTATAATAATCGAGCACATAGTCGACTTTTTTTCTTTAATGCATTTCGTGATACTAGTTTTCCCTTCATTTATATAAATCAATTTACAATTACAAGAGCACCAAAATGCTCAAAAAATGTTAAGTAAAGTTTTTAAAAATTTGAGTGAAAAAGAGGTGAATGATTAAGAAGCATGTCGCACTAAGCTTAAAAATAAACTTTTAAATAAATTTTCTGGATAATTGGCACAAAACATGCCTACATTTCAAGCTTATTGTGTAAAACGTACATACCTTTCTTTTTTGACATTTTTGCTCTTATTTCCACATTTCATTGCGAAGAAGGTCATTTCCGTCCTTTTTTCCAATAAAATGACAATTTTACCTCAATTCAAATAAAACAAAAAAAATCAATAAATAACTAATTGCAATCACAGTCCTAAATTTTTCGAAACATTACAGCTTAATCCTAAATTCTCCTCCACCACCACTTTTACAACCCAAACACCTTTCGGCCACCATGTCCGTCGGACTCCGCCACCACCAACCTTACCTCACTCTCCCCTACCTCAAATCCACCTGAATTCGCCAAAAAATTAAGCCAAAATCTCCAATTTCGATGACAAAATCAAGCAAAAAATCGAGCCAAAATATCCAATTTCGATGACACCCATACCATGCCCAACATTCTAGTGAATTATATACATCATGGTGCCTTTTACATGGTCATCAATCATCCATAAACACATGGAATCAAAACCAGCAAGCTCATCTTCGAACACAGAGATTGTGCAACTTTCAGACGAATTTTTTGACGACGGTCGTGGGACCCATGATCACGGACCACAACTACAAGCACCTACTCTTCATGGCGCATCCAATGAACATATGGGCCATCCCCAATTTGGCCTAGAAATGGTAGTTTATGGGTTTTCTTCCTATGAACAACCTACCCACGTGAAGGAGGTTTTCTTCCATCAATTCATGGCTCAAATGTGATTCAGTACACAAATCAACATGGGAGACATGAAATTCAAGGTCAAAAAGAATTGGGTAATAGCTCAATTGCAGAAATTACAGCACTTGTTTGCCGAATTTTGGAGTCAAATGATGTTCTTCATAAACCTATAATTGTCGAATTTTGGAGATTTTGGCTTGATTTTCCAGCGAATTTAGGTGGGTTCAAGGTAGGGGAGAGTGAGGTAAGGCTGGTGGTGGTGGAATCCGACGAGTATGGTGGCCAGAAGGTGTTTGGGTTGTGAAAGTGATGGTGGAGGAGAATTTAGGACTAGTTGTAATGTTTTGAAAAATTTAGGAACGTGGTTGCAATTAGTTATTTATTAATTTTTTTGTTTTATTTGAATGAGGGTACAATTGTCATTTTATTGGAAAAAATAACGAAAATGACCTTCTTCGTAATGAAAGGTGAAAATATGGGCAAAAATGTCAAAAAAATGAAATATAGGGACGTTTTCTACAATAAGCTTGAAAGGTAGGAACGTTTTGTGCTAATTATCCTAAATTTCCTTGATAGCATATTTATATTTACTTAAAGTCACTAAAAGTACTTCTTTAAGTATATCTCTTAATCTACCAATTTTCAATCCATTCTAAACATTTATTATACGAACAATCAATCCAATTACACAAAAGCAAGACAAAGAAACTAAAGTACTAGGAATATCATTTTAACTAAGTAGCCTTTTCATGATCCCTTCAACTTCAAAAAATACATGATAAGTAAAAGCGTTCCAGATGATGCTGAGCATTTCATTAACCTCGTTAATGTTGGAAGAATTTTGTGAATAGTGACGCTGAAATAAGTATAATGATGGTGACAAAGTCGAGGCAAGAGTTGGACTCTTTGTCCTTAAGTCGAATTTGCCCCGCAACGGTGCCTACGGATTCCGGCAATCGACTCCCAAGATACAACGGCTACACTTGTGTTTGTAGCACTCCAAAACACAAGTATAACGAACCAAATGTAGGCTTATGTACTCCACAGATGAAATGAAAGAAAATCAAAATAAATGAAATGATTTTGATTTTGGATAGAAGAGAGGATGAGAGACGTTTTTGCATATCAAACTGTGAGGAATAGGACACCCAAAGGGTCCTATTTATAGACCATGAAGGGGTGTGGACGAAATGGTTGAGGCCAAACCATGCACCCTTTCCAAACAATGCACCTTTATGAAAAAGAGGTGTCTATTCAATGGTTTTAGCCTTTTTCGTAATTTCTCATTCATCCGATATTGGTTTTCGTAATACCAAATATACCCTTCAATACATGCAGAGAAATCAAAATTCTCTTTCGGGGGCGTTGCCCCCGACCCCCACGAGGGGCGCTGCCCCCTCGACCCTTGCGACCTGACCGGGCAGGTCGATCCCCGTTTGTGCGCCCCGAAGCGGCGAAGTGGCAAACAATTTTGCCTAAACGGATTGAGTCGAGCTTTTGAGTATTTGGCCGAATTTGATACGAACTTTAATCGATTTTCAATTCTCAATTTATTTAACCAATATCCAACAATCCCCCACATGAATGGAAATTCCTCGATATGCGCAACACAAAGCGAATGCAATGAAAATGAAATGCAGACTCTAACAAACGGAGTACACACGACAAGTCGTAGCATCAAGATAGGTAGCTTGCGGCCTTGAACCTTCTTTAGTTGAATACAATCGGATTTACTAGGCTAGTTGGTGAACGCGATGTCTTGAACCATCCAGCCTTTCGTGTAAAACCAAACAACTGTACTAACACCATGACTCATCTAACCTATTCGATTCTCATGGTTGAGTCCATTTTGGCCCTGGACAACTCTTGGTTTCATAAGTGCTCTAAGAGAATTAAGCCTCGAATTCTAATAAATAAATTAACATAAACAACATAATTTTCCTTTGAGTAATTAGCACAAAACGTTCTTACGTTTTAATGTTATCGTGCAAAATGTACATATCTTTTATTTTTTGACATTTTTCCTCTAATTTCACTTTTCATTACGAAAATCATCATTTTCATCCAATTTCTCAGATAAAATGATAAATATACCATTCTATTTAAATAAAATAAAAAAAGAAAAGAATAATTAAATAACAAATGGTAATCATACTCCCAAACTTTTTTAAAAGTGCAAATAAGTCCAAATAAATTATTAAAATGGTAATTAGCACAAACATCCACGCCTTTCAATATCGCTGTGTAAAAAGACCACACCTTTCATTTTTTGACATTGTCATCCTTATTTTCACATTTCATTGCGAAAATTATTGTTTTCATCCATTTTCTCAATCAAAAGCTATCAAATGACAAATGTACTTTTCTCTTTAAACAAACGAAAATAAAGAAAATAAAAATAAAGAACAAATTGTAACTATACGCCCAAATTTTTCAAAAAAAAAAAAATACAAATAAACAATTAAAAAAAGTGATTTTTGTTTTGTTAATTTTTAATTATTTATTTGAAATTTATTTTTACTTTTTTGAAAATTTTGGGAATATAGTTGCAATTTGTTCTTTATTTTTGTTT